CTAGGGTTGCGGTGCTCATCTCCATTTCAAAGCCAAAGAGCCAGCGCTGTCCGAAGACGTTTCCGTGGTCATGTGGCCGGCATGACTAAACACCGAAGCGCACAGAACGCTGTTACCTTCCCACCGAAGCGGTACCTATTTATCTACTTGCAATTTCTTGCTTTCGAACTGCTAGGTTGGCAGGAGCTGGAACTAGAGACGGGAGCTCACTCCGTCATGCGGCACACTTGGGTCTCGAACTGCTGAACTACTGACCTTCCACAGCCTGCAGTTCAGCGTCTTAACCACTTGAGCCACCGCAGCTCCTTACCATGTGCCAATACATAAAACCAGATAAAACAAGATAAAACAGATTAAATAGCGAAATGACATAAAGTGCTCAATGGCCCGGAAAGGGGGGGGGGAATCACACACCCCTGTTTTGCTTTGCATACATGTGAGTTATACACACCAGGGAGCTGCGAACAATCTTCGCTCAGGGCACTTGGAACAGGGTTACCAACCTCCAGATAGTGGCTGGAGGTCTCCTGGGATTACAACTGACCTCCAGGCGACAGGGATCAGTTCCGCTGGAGAAAATGGCTGCTTTGGAAGGGGAATCTATGGCATTATACCCCGTTGAGGTCCCTCCCCTCCCCAAACTCCACCTTCCTCAGGCTCCACCCCCCCAAACCTCCAGGTATCCCCCACCCCGGAGCTGGCAAGGTTCCCTGTTAAGTCGCTCGCTTAGCAAAGCCGTCGGAGAGTGATTCAGCAAGAACGCAGCTTTATTCTTCAACTTGAACACAACTCCAACACGGACCAACATCTGATAGCCAGAACAGCCTTTACATTGCAGCTGCCCTGCTTTTAAACATTCCCGGCTAATGTAGCCACACCCACTGTACAAATACCAACCAATAAGGTTGTTCGCATAAGGACCAATCACGGATGTTCCCGCTCAGGGAGCTTGCTTGAAGGTGATTGGTTAGGTGCTTCCTGGGCTAGTAACACGATTGGATGGATTTGGATCCTAGCCCAGGATGAAGCTTAACATTACAAGTCTATGAGATGTTTCACATACATCATTGCATTCCATGGCCGCTTTGGAATACACAGCATTCCCTAACCTGGAACCTATTGTGCTTGGTGACTCACAGGTGACTCTCACAGCGTTCACATGACGAACGAGCCAGCCTTCGTCCCCACACTGTTCAGAGAGCGCATGTTAAAAATCAGCAGCCACTTTCCACAAGGCTTGCTTCCTGCTCCTGTCAAAGACCTGGCGGAGGAGACTGCAGCCTCAGAAGGAAAACTCACACCCGTGTTAATTTACTTAGACTCCAGCGGTGCCTCAGCACTTTCCTGCCTTCACAGACTGGGGGTGGTGTTCCACAATAAGTCGTCCCCTGGGTCACCCGCTCCTCCGCTTCCACGGCCTCTCTGCTTGAGGGCCTGCCGTGCTCTGACCCAGCCTCCCCAATCTGCTTGAATACATTACGGCGCTATCAGCTCCCAGCTCTGCTCTCTTAATGATGCCAGATTTCATTAGCTCATTTCCCCACAAGAATCTCCATCCTTTCCTGTCCCGCTGTCTTTTAGTCAGCCAATTATTCCCCCTAAAAATAGTATTCAGCCAATCATCTCCCTCCTAAACATAAATTGTTGGCCACAGGCCTACAAAACATCTCGACAGGCCCCAGAAGTGGGAAATTTCCCCTGGACGAATCCTGGAGCTCCACGCAATTCGGTATTGCCGTCGAATGTAACACCGACAACACCGTTGCTTCGTATTTGTATAGACCTGAATGCCCGGATTGCATTACGTGCCTTATCTTGGAAAGCCCTTCCTGACAAACAGCTTCTCGGATCACTCCCTGAAAGAGGCGGGCACAGGAGAACACTGCCGTATTCTCCACGAATGACAACTCTGAGGCCTGTGAGGGAACAGCAACAACACTGCCGTCTTCTTTCCAGCCACCGGTGACACACGAGCTGGATGGCGTCCCCTCTGAGAACTGCACCGCTGTTGACTGGGTTCAAGTCAAGCCCACAGCATTGCCACAAGAACTTTGCTCGGACCCAACCTGCGATGGTGGAGTCCCGGGAAAGGACGATCTCCGGTGCTCAGAGCAACAAAATACCTTGAAACAGGTCTAAGCATGCACCCTTAGCACATACCCCAAATCTTAACACAGTGAAGAAAGAGGAGGAGGAGGAGATAGGGTTTATACCCCGCCCTTCACTACCCAAAGGAGTCTCAGAGCGGCTTACAACAACTGAGAGAGCCAGTTTGGTGTATTAAGTGCGCGGACTCTAATCTGGGAGAACCAGGTTTGATTCCCCCCCTCCTCCACTTACACCTGGCTGGATGGCCTTGGACAAGCCGTAGTTCTGATAAGAGCTTCTCTTGAAAAAGAGCAGTTTCTGTCAAGAGCTCTCTCAGCCCCACCTACCTCACAGGGGGTCTGTTGTGGGGAGGGGAAGGGAAAGGAGTTTGTAAGCCGCTCTGAGACACCTTTGGGTAGTGAAGGGCGGGGTATAAATCCAATCTCCTCCTCCTCCTCTCCTCTTCCCCTCCCCACAACAGACACCCTGTGAGGTAGGTGGAGCTGAGAGAGCTCTCTGGAGAACTGCTTTTGAGAACAGCTGTGAGAGAACTTGTGACTGGCCCAAGGTCACACCAGCAGCTGCATGTGGAGGAGTGGGGAATCAAACCCGGTTCTCCCAGATTAGAGCCTGTGCTCCTAACCACTGCACCAAACTGGCTCCTCAGCAGACACCTCCAATCAGGAAAGGGCTACCTGAAGATACCAAGTCTGGAGACAGCAGGCGATCGTTGAGAGGGGCGTCCGATCAGACTGGAAATCAGAACTAATCTATCTATCTAATTGCCAAGTGGCCCCCGGAGTGCGGATCGCTAAATCAGCGCTCCGAGGGCACTTGGGGGGGAGGGGGAGGTTTGTGCACTCTTGGGGCAGTCCCCAGGGGTGCACAAAAATCTAAAAACTAAAAAAAAATATTGGGGGGATGTTTAAATCCCCCCGAAAGTGCAAGAGCGTTCTGTGCGCCTGCGCACAGAACGCTCTACGAACGCCAACGCCGCCGCCGCCGCTTGGAAGGCAAGCGGCGAGCGGGGGGGGGCTGACCGGCGAGGGTGCCAGGGCCCGGCTGGGACACTCCT